TCTGATGAAGGGTCGAGGCCCGAAACGTCAGCCTCTCTGCTCCTATGATGCTGCTTGGCCTGCTGTGTTCATCCAGCCCTGCACCTTGTTGTCACTAGAGTATGGGGTGCAGTTTATTTCTCTTCATGAAGAGAGAGTACTTGCCACAGCGAAAGTGTGGCAATAGTTAACTCAGCTGATTCTGAGAATGGCAGTCTTGGCACTTGAAGAGAGAGGCTGATCTAATCCTGCTGTTAGTTTCTGTGTTTCTAAATATTTGGATTACATTCCAGAAAGTCATGCAGGACGATTTGAGATCTTTATAACAAGAGTCGATCCTCGTGCTGTTGCAGATCTTTCCATGACAGTAATAAATGACACTGCTTTCATTCCCATGATCACTGCCTTACTGAACCATCCTTGTTGCCATCCTTTCTTGGAAATCTGAAGCAAGGATCATGTACATTACAAGCAAGATTTGCCACCAGTTACGAAACTCCATGCGATGTGGAAAAAATTGTGAAGATGGGAATATTCTCAGGATGGGCTGGATGGGTGGAACAGTGAGTATAGTGACTTAGAAAGAAACCCTACGCTCTGTGAGTAGGAACAAATGTCAATCATCCATCAAGTGACACCTTTAGCAAGTACATCTATCAACATATCAGTGATCAATAATAATCACTTTGTCACGAATCAGGCACACATTATTGAAATCATGGGGAGTCAAGTAAAATCTGTGTTACTGCAAAACTGCATTATTCAAAACTGTGTCAACTGAAGACTGCCTGTACTATATTGTACCGTTTTATGATTTCAAAAACCTTCATCAAGATTTTTGGTTACCATCTCTGTTCTAATGGAAACAGCTTCACAACATTGTGGCAAGTATAAAGGGAAATTCATTCTGCACTTAAACTGTATCTAAATTGGGAGTACTTGATGGGATGGGAGTAAAAACTTTTACTTGGTGCAAAACAAAATGTACTTTTAAAACTATTAAGAATATAACAATTAAGGCCATTAACTCCAGATAGTGATTGTGAACTTGCAATAAGTAGTGATCTGGCTCCACCTAGAGCATTACGTACATTTCTAAGTCACTGTACTACAATGAAAATATCTTGGCCTTGAAAGTGACCAATGAAAAGAGCAGCAGCTTTGGAAATCATGAACATTTTCACCAGAGATTCAAGGCCATCATATACATGCAACATTTGTGTGTAGTGTTTACTTATGTGCAACAGCTTGAGTACACAGAATGCCATCCAGGTAGAAGCTATGAGGGTTCATATACTTAACTGCTGATGCCATGCAAATCTCCCCTAACCATTGCTGAGCATCGCCTCAGAAGAAATATGAGCATGTGAACAGCTCAGGCTAGGGTATTGAAAACCTGCATAAATGGAGTGCTCTCAAGAAATCTTAAAGCTGAACAAGATAAAATTGAACTTAAGCAGGCAAGTGTCCAGTAATCAAGTGATTAGTTCCCTGACTACAATGGGAAAGAAAACTACCAAAGGAAACAATCCTATCCCATATCTTCATAATAACATCACTTAATTCCTGTAATAGCTACTTATGATTTAGCTTCATTGCTAATGCTTACCGTTTCAAAGCTGCCTTTATGCATTAGATCTATGGGTGGTCTGAAGAGGTCTGCCAGAGTGGTCAGTTTCTTGTCCACTGGACCACCATTCCGCAACTCCTGTTCCTGTCTGACTGCAAACACAAACACAGAATTTTAATGCACATACTTATGGTCCGCTGTTTTTAGGCACAGAACAGTTAATGCAATGCTTTATAGCTGTAATATGGAGGAATTTCACGATACCGTTAAGAGTGCGAAGCAGAAAGAGTTATAGTATTCAGTTCAACATCTCAGACCACATTCCCACCCTTTTCCCTTTAATGTTTTGTTTATCCATGACACACAGTTTTCCAATTTTTTTGATTAGTAAGCTTTGTTGTTTGGATTTTTAAAGTATTTTCACTTTTGTCTTGTACTTCATTGCAATTGCTTTCTAGAAAAGTGTGCAGGATAGATGCACAAAGACCAATGAATTTAAATTGAGTTGATAGTCAATTGCATCAGGTAGGTGAGAACACTCATATGTTTGTATCATACATCAACTATTCTTCTTTATCATACTAAACCAAGTCACCACTCTACATGCTGCAACGTCCACCAATGTGGAGAACTACTGGTTGGGAGGATGGGAGTGAGATCTTGTGTTCTTATGAAATCATACTTTATAACTTTGTTAGGGCTAGATTTCTGAATATAGTCGTACATTCAGACTCCCACAACCAATGTTTGATAGGGAAATCACAAGTCAGAGAGAACAAATCAGTTATTATGCTTTCTCCTGACATTGTTTAAAAAGTACATTAAAAACAAGTTTTTACAACATCGCTATTCCCTTAGTCATCTTTATTATGAATATTGATAGGAATTGTACATTAGACTCACTTGCTCCAGGAATGTCAAACTGGAATGTCAATTGGGTCTAAGTTATAATCATATTTAACACCATGTCATTTTAAAATGTCCAAAATAGAATCCAGCACTGTTTCCCAGCATCAGGAAAGACGTTCAGCCACCTTTCAAGCAGTTAAGTCTAAACAAAAGTATTAGATTGGGAGCCAGTATGAATGAGACCACAAATCACAAAATGGACATGAAGCTATTCATGAATTTGCTGCTCGATGTGAAAAACATCTAATCCTCCGGAGACAGAATCTAATGGTACTACTTGGGTCTGAATTCTATTTCCAACAAGGACCAGTCTTGTTAAACTAATTGGTTGCCAAAATCTAACACCTTACTTATGCCACCTGGGCCAATTCTGAAAAATCTGCAACAATTGAAGTACACATTGGCAATTTACTTATTTTACATTTAATGTATTTAATTGCAGGCAATTGATAGGCATTAACTGGTATTTTACTTCAGTCAGTAGTAAATAGGCAGAAATTAAAATTGTGGTTGATGGTTTGGAGGTCCATGCTTGTAATGTGTAACTACATAAGTAATTATCAAAGTATAAAGGATTGGATCCAGCTTTTCACTTTCTGTGACCAGCTTTCTAGAGTAGAACATTGTGGATAGATAATAAAATCACCTCTCTCTAATGTATAGAAAATTTAATTTTCCTTCTCCTTTTCATTGTTCACATTTAAATGAAATACACTGAAAAGAATACTCACTCGTTTCAGTTTGGAAGTCTCTGAATCCATCAAATATGGAGCGTGCAGGTCTCCGTCGTTTAGGAGCTGTAGAATGCACAAATGTGTTTAACGTGGTTCAAAAATCTACAGATTCTTATGCAGCATTTCAATCTCTATAAGAAAATTAATCTGACAGTTCAGTGTTTACTGTTTACTCGACTGAGGAAAATTACACCAATTTTTTCCCCCACACCAGTGTGGAACACTTGTATTGACTGGCCCTGTGAGAACGGTACTTGTTTGAATTGACAAACTCATTTATTTGACTCTCCTGCCTCTGTCATTAAACCACGGAAAATCTCTGTGCCTTTGCACATCCATACAAATGCCAATATTGAGATCAAGTAAGGTTAACGGGAAGGATGATAAAGGAAGCAGGGCTGGCAAGACAGGGGAAGGGAGTGATGAATAAACAGATGGATTGGTGGGTTGGTCAAGTTAGTCAGACAGGAAGCAAGAATGGGAGAGGGAACCGCTGGTCAACAGCTTGTCTTGGTAGCAAGATAGTTTGGGCTGTCCTCAGGTGGTGATATGGCACAACGTAAATATAAACTCTTCCTTTCGTCACAATACAATGGAAACCATCCAAGATATTAATTACTATCTACAGAAGTACAGACAACCTATAAAGACAGGTACATTAGCTGTGCACCTGTTCCCAAGGGATAAAAACAATTAAAGAGAGAGAGTTTGGAGAAATATTTGTTTGAAACACCTTACCACCAAATAACGGTTCAGGTTCTACCAGTATTTCTTGCTTTTGTGGAATCGGAGCTCGGACCTCATCCCTAAAATGATGCAAAAATGAACAAACATCAGACTTAGGTAGAAACTATTTGTTCATCTACTCAGGCTCAAATTTAATGCTACTCAGTGAGGCCAAGATCAGGAAGACTTGCATAAGACTACTATCGCAGAAACACAATGAGCAGTGAATATTTCCCACGTACCAAAACATTCTTGTTGCTGGCTTGCAACTGCTTTCAGACCATAACTATAAAATCATACACAATATCTATAGCTGAATGAGTGGTGAAGTGAACATTGTGTTCTAGTATGCTGGTAGTTTAGCTACTTCATTTAACTTTTAGGAAATCTCTGTAAAGTTATTTTGACACTTGTCATGACTTTAGTGCAAAAAGGCAGTCAAAAGTACAATTAAATACTTTCCCACAATACTATCTCGATCTGTGTATTTCCAGTCCAACAAGGAATAAAGCAGAAACATAGAGCAAAATACTGAAATGTTGGAAATCTGAAATAAAAGCAGAAAATGCTCAGCAGGTCTAACAGTATCTCAGGAAAGAGAAACAGAGTTAACATTTTAGACCGGTGATCTTTCATCAGAACTGAATGAAGAACTGTCTTCTATCTCCATAGATGCTGCCAGACCTGCCATGTTTCCAACATGTTCTGTTTACATGCAGGAACAGTGCAATGCAGGAACTATTTCTGGAAAATGAAGTGGGGTATTTGAACGCTTTTGAATGGGACATTTTGACAAAAGAGATCTTTATAGTAATAATGGAAAAGTCAAGGTACGATTAGTGTAAAAATACTTAGCAGACTTGAAGATAACAGTAAGGTAAAATGTGACAGACACGGACAAGTGAAATTTAATACAGAGAAAAGAGCTACTTTTGGTGGAGAGACTGAAAAAACATAATACAACAGAAAAGCATACAATTTTATGGAGGATTCAGGAACAGAAACATTGGTGGTGGTGGCAACAGTGGAGGAAAGATAAACCTCCACAAATCATGCAGATATTTTCTAACCAAGCTGTTCAGTGATGTTATTACACACCTCAGAACAAGTGGGACTTGAACTTGGGTCTCCTGATCCAGAGGCAGGGACACTTCCTCAAATTCGGGAAGGTGGCAGGACAAATTGAGGACACTTAAAAAGCATGTGAGACCTTTGCCTTAATTAATTAATGCAGAATGTGCAAAACCTAGGAAGTTAATCAGCAAACGCTGGTTAGGTGTTTGCTGGAGTGTTAGGTTCATCTATTAGCACTATGCATCAGGGAGGATGTCAAGAGCTTCATGGAGGGTGCAGGAGACATTTACCAGGGCTTAGGGCATCCAGTTTTGTGAAGAGACATAAGAACCCATGGCGTTTTTTCTGTTGTCAAGAAAAAATTTGATAGTGTTTTTCAAAATCACGAACATTTCTGAAAGAGTAACTAAGGGGAAAGGTTTCTGGTGAAGACAGGCAGGTAAGCAGAATTGAATTGATTGCAGAACAGTCAGAGGTCTACAGCACAGAAAAAAGGCCCCTTGATTCAGCAAGTCTGCGCCAGTCATAAAAAGCACCTAACAATTCTAACCCCATTTTCCAACACTTATCCCACATACTTGTACGCCAAGGGTAAGGCAAGTGTGTATCTCAATACTTCTGAAATGTTATGAGGGCTTCTACCCTCTACCACCCTTACAGACAGTGAGTTCCAGACTTCCAATCACTTTCTGTGTGAAACAATTTTTCCTCATTTCCCTCTAAGCCTTCTGCCCCTTCCTTTAAGTCTTTGCCCCTCTCCTGGTCACTGATCCCTTCAACAAGGAGGAAAGTACCTTCTTGTCTACCCTAGATAATAGTGTGGAGTTGGAGGAACACAGCAGGCCAGGCAGCATCAGAGGATTTCAGAAAATTTTTCTGAAGAAGGGTCCCTACCTGAAATGTCAGCTTTCCTGCTTCTCTGACACTGCCTGGCCTGCTGTGTTCCTCCAGCTCCACACTGTGTTATCTCTGACTCCAGCATCAGCAGTTCTTACTACCTCTTCTTGTCTACCCTAACTACGTCCATCATAATTTTATACATCTGAATCAAGTACCCCCTCAGTCTCCTCTGTTCCAAGGAAAATACCACCAGTCTATTTAATCTTGCTTCATAACTAAAATCAGTGGCAAAATGATTTCTATTTTTAAAACAGAGCTAGTTTTGATTAATTGGAATGGTCTGCATGGAAGAATGGTGGAAATGGATTCAACAGTTACACTCAAGAGTGGTTTGAATAAACACATGAAGGTAATGCTATGATTGGGTTGCTCGCCGAGCTGGTTTGTTAGTTCGCAAATGTTTCATTACCCTGCTGGGTAACATCAACAGTGTAGCCTCCAATGAGGTGTTGTGTTTTCCCGCCTGGGGTCCATTGGAATTGGATACCTCATTTCTGGTTTTTCTTTACAGTCGTGCATATATAGGATCTAATTCTATGTGTATAACAGCCTTCGTAGGAGGCTGCATTGATGATGTTATCCAGCAGAGTAATGAAACGTCTGCAAACTAATGAACCAGCTTGAAAGGTGAACCAACCACAGCATCCATAACCTGAGCTACCAATCTACTCGAGAACCGTGGACTTGATGGTAAAAATATAGAGAGCTATGGGGTGATAGCAGGGAACTGGGATTAATTAGACAGCTCCAGCGAAGAGCCAGCAGAGGCCAGGATGGGCACAAGGCCTCTTCCTGTGCTGAATCATTCTATAATTCTATAGCTCTCTCAAACTAATTCTATACACAGGCTGTGAGAAATTATATTAAAATAAGCAATAATTTCCATTTGTCCACTGTTTTAATCACTAGTTCTCATTACATCTAAAGGATGACCTGTTCATGCTTCTTCAATCTTCAGAGGTTCTCCACTTGGAGTCATCAAATTATACATAATCTAGAAAACTTCTATTTGGCCAATCAACACAAAATTCAAAATTTCTTTCTCTTTCCCAAGCCCCTCCCTCAAAGACAGACAAGTTCCCTGGAATGGATGCCACCATTTAACTCATTTACACACATATTTTGCTTCTTTGTTTATCCAATTACCTTTGACTTGCACCATGAATCTGTTTGACATTTGACCTCCAGTGCCCTCCATCCTATCACAGATGTCCCTTTTCACTCCTCCCCACATTCATTTATTCATATTACATCTATAATCTTAGTTCTAATAGAAGGTCACTAATCTGAAACATTAACTTGGCTTTCCTCTCCACATATGCTGCGAGATCTGCTGAGTACTTACAGCATTTTGTTTTTATATTAGGTAAACTTCATGGTTAGCCCTCCACAATCTGACATATATCCTCCAACATGTGTTAACTTAGGTCTCACTGTAAACTGACAATTTACATTTACTGTGTTCATTGAAAACACTCTTACATAAATCCAGATGTTTGCCGCATTTTGTAATCCAAGAACTGAAAGCAATACAAGCCATGCAAAGGAAATTCAAACTAGGCATTGTTTCTGTAATGAAAGGCAGCTTTTCCACTCTATCCATACCATAGGGGATAAATCACACCTTCAAATAGGGGAAGGGGATTATCAACCCAGAACACAAAGGTCTCCTGATCAAAGTAATGATCAGAGAAACAGAACTTTTGTCAGTCAAGTTTGTGGTATGACTGACTTCAAGGTAGCAGTTCAGGGATAATAAGATTAAAGTATAGAGCCATCTGTAAAATAAGAGATCATGTTGATTCCTAGCTACTAAATTGTAACATTCAAATCTTTTGTCATTGGCAAGGACAATACAGAATACACTACATTTGCACTGAACAAAACTGAAAGAGATCAAGACAGAAGATGACCTCAGTGTCATTGTGTGTAGATTTCTAAAATTTCATGCCTCTGCTGCAAAGCTAGATCTAAAGCTAACAGTTTATATTAATAGAACCATTCAATATAATCAAAGAACACCATTTCACATTGTACAGGGATCTGGTAGAGTATGTTTAGAACGTTAGAATCAAACGTGGTCATTCAACATGAGGGGTCTTGGAAAAGGTCCAGAAGAGAACTAAAAGGAGTAGTGAATGGAGTTCTCTAGAGTAATTAAAAGGGCTGGGCATCATTTCTATTGATAACAGTTTAGCAAATTAGAAGAGGTCATGGGTCATAATTTTAAACTAATCAATAGCAGAAACAAAAACAGAAAAATTGTTGGTGGAACTCAAAAGTCTGACATCCTCTGTGGGGAGAAAGCAGAGTTAATAATGATCAGGTCTGCTGAATTTCAATAGCAATTTCTGTTTTTGTTTCAGATCTCCAGCATCTACAGTTCTTTGTTTTATTTAAGAGCAGGAATTGATTGGGGGGTAAAAGAAACTATCCAAACTCCAAAACGTCATGAGACTCTAGAAAGTCTTTTTGCATGCCTCTAATGAGAATCTGACTAGAATAAAAATTGTATTTCTATAAAGAATTTTGTGGCTCTGAAATAGGTCATACTGCTCAAAAATCCTTTTCTGATATTTATAATTTACACCCAAACCTCTTGTTGCATTACTTCACAACAGATCTTTCTATTCTTATCTCTCTCATCTAATTGCCTAAATTGCCTGACATTTATCCAGGTTCTTCAATTTAAACACTCCAAAATTGGTCTTGGAGAAAACTAGTACAGGCATAACCTTTTGTGTTGTAACCATTCCATGATTCTAAGTTCCACATCCTTACCATCCCCAAGCATAAACGTTTCTCCTGAATCCCCAATGCATTATTGGTGATTTTATGTTTATGGACTCTGTTTTCACCTGCATGAAAAAAAACTTCCGTATCTAACCCCCTTCAAAATTTTAAAACACCTCTGCGAGGCTACCTCCCAACTTGCCACACAGTGATAACACACAATTTCTCAACTGAAACCCTTTCTCCCTCTGTCACAGCTCACTGGGGTAGCACATTGGAGTTTTTTTTTCCAGAGTCATCACAAATTTAGTGGTTTTATATAAATTCCCTCCTGAAATGGCATTGTGGGTGTGCCTATACTAAATGGACGACT